CGCTCCCGCCTCACTCAGGCGGGAGAAGTCATTCGATGATTTTCACCCCTGAACTCTTTGAGTACCGTCTTTATAGACACAATTGCGGTGTTTGACGGTTTAAAAAAATATATCTAGAAACGTTCTAATCCCATTATTCTTCTGTTTTGAAAAACAACATAGTCAAATGAGTTCTCCCGTCTTAGGTGAGGCAAAACAGAGTGTTAGACTCATACTGACTAAACACAACCATAATTCTAATCCTGCTTTGCTCCAAAGTCACTGTAATCCGTAAAGTTGTCGCTGCCCCTCTAATTCTGTTAAACTTAAGAGTACGAGATATTTACGTCAGTCTATAGATACTATGATTATTATATTGTTGCTCACCTTCGTACTGCTAAGAAGTGAAATCTTCTAAATCTTTGCCAGAGTCTGTAAGTCCTGAAGAGAACTGTATAACCTGGATGTTTTCAAGGCCCGAGTGAAAAGGTTGCTTATGGGTCGACGTGCTCCATCATAAGCGACATCAGCGCTTACCACCTGGCGAGATAGTGGTCAAACGTCAGTCCCATCTAATTAATATATAAAAAAAGAAACATACTATTTCTTCAAAGAATTTATGTTCAGCTTCAAAAACTTGTATGAATGCATCAACTGATACATAAATTTTTACTATGATTCAAAATGGGTAGGTTTGTAACAAAAGTACTTATGCCTAAGTCTACAATTGCCAGCACGTCTATAATGAAAATGACGTCAGTCATGGTCACGGGACCACAAAATGTCAATGACCACACATTTTTTTCAGAAAAATTTACCAATTTCCGAATTACAGAATGACAGAATAAAATATAGAATGCTTGTGAACTATATGTTATGTCGGTTCACATTTGACGGAAAATGTGTCGAACGTATCATCGGAAATAAATATATAAAATGGATTAAAATAATATGAATCAGAACACAAAGAAATGCTAATTCATCGTTTATTATTTTATAACAAGCAGAATGACGCTGAACTAGGATTTCAGTAGCAAACGACAGGTTCACAACCACATGAGCACTTTCCGGAGATAGACACGGCTCCAGCAGCCGGTACAGCGCCGCCGAAGCTCACAGCGCCCATGATGGGGACCTGTCCAGCGATAGCGGTAGTACCGGAGACTGGCAGCTCACCAAGGACCGCCACGTTGCCTTCACCGGCGCCGCCGTAAGCAGCACCAGGAGCAATAGCACCTCCGTATGCAGCAGCAGGAGCAAGTGCACCACCATAAGTAGATCCGATGGCACCAAGACCGAAAGCACCAAGACCGAGGGCACCACCACATGGAGCAGCAGGAGCGAGTAGAGCAGGAGCAGGAGCTAAAGCTGGGGCTCCACACCCGCACCCAACACCGCCGAGGTACTGACCGAACACTACCTGGACCAAGCAAGCTTGGATGCAGACAAACAGAACAGCGAATCTAGACATGTTTGATGTTCGTTTGCGTTCAACGAGGAGCTGAAGACTGAATGATGTTCCTACTTGTAGACCACGTTTATATAGTGCTCGAGTGTGTTATCAGAACGACGCGAGTTATTGTCTATGTTCTGCTGAAACAAAGCCCTCCATAGCAAATATTCCAAGGTCACGTCACTTACACAACGCACACTTGCATTTCTCCATTTCCTCACATTACTCGCACAACTACTGATAAACGTTTGCAAAGTTCATTTCAAAATTCACTAAAACTAGATAAGGAACACGTTTCACTATAAATACTTGATCAGTTCTTGGAACAATCATTGTCAAGTTTGCTTCAATACAAAGTACAATGGCCGCCAAGCTGATCCTTGTCCTCTGCGCTCAGGCGCTCTTCGTCCAGGTGGCATTCAGTCAGTGCCTTGGTCGTGCAGTTATCCCTGCCCCTGCCTTACCCTGCCCTGCTGTTGTTGCACCGAGCTGTGCTGGTAACGGTATGATTGCTAATGGATGGATCGGTAACGGTCTGATTGGTACCGAATGGATCGGTAATGGTTTGGTTGGTAATGGATTGGAAATCGTCCCCACCAGTGGTGGTGGACTGGCTGTGAGCAGTACCTCTAGCATCGCTCCCAGCGGGCTCTCGCTAGCGTCTGAGAATGTGTTTGAGGGTGCTCTGTCCGTGGCTGGTGAGCTGCCGTTCGTGAGTGCTGTGGCTCTGGAGGGCGCGCTGCCCAGTGCTGGTGCTGGCGCCGTCAGCTACAGCTGCGGTAACGGTGTTACTGTTATCGAGAGCATCGCTCCTTCTGCTGCTGCTGCAATTGCTCCTGCGGTATCAGCTGGAGCTCCTGCTGCTGCTTATGGCGCTGCAGCACGCTATGGTCTTGTTGGCTATGGACTGGGCGCTGCTGGTATTTCTCCTGCCACTCTCGGACTCGGCTATGCAGGTCGCGGATGTGGCTGTGTTGTTTAATTATGATAACAAACGACACAGTGCTTAGTCATTTAAGGATAATAAACTGATAACTAAGCACTATATTTTATTGTATTATTTGAATCCCTCCTTACGACTCCACTATTAATGAAGTAAACTCGAACAAAATAACAGAAATCTACTTTTAGCTTATATTGTAATCAATATTTGTCAATATTTCCAACTCTTCTAAAATTCATATAATGTTCAAATCTCGGTGTTAATCTTCGTACTCGTATCGGAAAGTCAATTTTACTTTGATTCAGGTTTTAAGAACAAGAACAGAAACATTTTACTAAGAAGGTGCATTTTTGTTGCCATTCGATTTAGACGTAATCTATTAATTGTAACATTGCCCAACCTCACATACCTTTCTATCAACAGAGGACAGACAGAAGTGCATTATGTGAAACGAATGTTGTAAAAGTTTTAAGAAGCGTGTGCGAGCATGTATTCGTCATAGGGAAGGTCACTTTGAATAAAATTTAGTAAATAATAATGTTTTTGAAATTTGCCATTTTCCTTTACAATTAACAAATCATCAATTTACTATTTTTTTTTTAAATTTTAAATAATTTAATGGTTTTTGGTAGTAAGTTTTCTATTGGCCAAAGTAGTGACTCAAAAATAAAATTTCATGCTAATTGACTTGCTATTTTAAAACGAATGATATTTCTGTCAATATTAGTATTAATAAATGTTTATTGATGTATTGACAACAAATTAAAACTAAAATCACTTAAATCAAACTAGTAGGTTTTTATTAATTGGTGTTTTTGCAGTTCGGTCGGGATTTTTTCACCAAAACCGAAAATGTTGAATATCTCAGAAACTAGCCACTTTCGGACCAGAGACCTCATGGCTAATTTTGTAGGCAATTATAATATTAAATAATAAATAAATAATGTTTATATAGTGTAAAAAGCCAGATTACAAAATAAATCTTATTATCTAAGGAAAGTCGTAAGTTTATAATTATACCTCTAAAACCTGAATTAGGTACAAGCCTGTGTTCCAGATTAAAAGTGTGTTGACATGTTTACAGTACAATGACATTGCTTATAAAACTAAAAATTAATAGCTAAATTAAATTAAGTCAGTATCTAAGTATAACAGGTGCGCGTATACAATTTCATAAACAAACGTAAGCAAAAATAACTAAGTCAACTACAATAAAATTATTTGCTTACTTCAAGTAATTATTCGGTTTGATCGTATGTTAAGGTGTGTACATAATTATGTAATAGTTTCTTACAGTGATTAGTTGTATTACACCTCCCGAGAGGAATATGTCAAGTTACAAGTCACCCGTATATTATTTTTTTTATTTTTTCTAGCTAATTTTTAAGAAATAAGTGTGCTATTTGAAGCAATAATTTTATGACGTCCCAAGTTGGTATTTCATATAAAATTCATAGAAATGTTTCCTATTTGACATTATGATGTAAGCATTGAATTTGACTAGTTGTCTCCTACCGTATTTGCACTGCATTTCAAAATTGGTATGTTTGTATCAAACGTACAGTAAACTGCTTAACTATCTACTTAAACCAACACGTCTGTAATGACATTTTGTGGACTCGAAAAACTTTACTGGTTTCCAAATGACAGAATGAAAGAACAATATACAGAATGCTTGCAACCTACGTGTGCCGAAATGCACATAGGTCGGTTCACATTTGACGGAAAATACATCGACCGTAGAATCGAATAACAGATGGAAGGAATCAAAATATTTTGAATCAGAATACAAAGAAATTTTGTTAATTTATCATTTATTATTTTATACGTAACTGAATGGTACAGAAGCAGGATTTCAATTGCAAACGACAGGTTCACAACCACAAGAGCACCTTCCAGAGATAGACACGGCTCCAGCAGCCGGCACGGTACCTCCGAAGCTCACAGCGCCCATGATGGGGACCTGACCAGCGAGAGCAGTAGTACCGGAGACTGGCAGCTCACCAAGGACCGCCACATTGCCTTCACCGGCGCCTCCGTAAGCAGCACCAGGAGCGTTAGCTCCTCCGTATGCAACAGCAGGAGCAAATGCCCCACCATAAGCAGATCCGATGGCACCAAGACCGAGAGCACCAAGGCCAAGGGAACCACCACATGGAGCAGCAGGAGCGAGCAGAGCAGGAGCAGGAGCTAAAGCTGGGGCTCCACACCCGCAGCCAACACCGCCGAGGTACTGACCGAACACTACCTGGACCAAGCAAGCTTGGATGCAGACCAACAGAACAGCGAACCTAGACATGTTTGATGTTCGTTTGTGTACAACGAGGAGCTGAAGACTGAATGATGTTCCTACTTGTAGAGCACGTTTATATAGTGCTCGAGTGTGTTATCAGAACGACGCGAGTTATTGTCTATGTTCTACTGAAACAAAGCCCTCCATAGCAAATATTTCAAGGTCACGTCACTTACACAACGCACACTTACATTTCTCCATTTCCTCACATTGCTCGCACAACTACTGATAAACGTTTGCAAAGTTCATTTCAAAATTTACTAAAACTAGATAAGGAACACGGTTCACTATAAATACACGATCGGTTCTTGGAACAATCATTGTCAATTTGGTTCAACACAAAGTACAATGGCCGCCAAGCTGATCCTCGTCCTCTGCGCTCAGGCGCTCTTCGTCCAGGTGGCATTTAGTCAGTGCCTTGGTCGTGCTGCTATCCCTGCCCCTGCCTTACCCTGCCCTACTGTTGTTACACCGAGCTGTGCTGGTAACGGTGTGATTGCTAATGGATGGCTCGGTAACGGCCTGATTGGTACCGAATGGATCGGTAACGGTCTGGTTGGTAATGGATTGGAAATCGTCCCCACCAGTGGTGGTGGACTGGCAGTAAGCAGCACCTCTAGCATCGCTCCCAGCGGGCTCTCGCTAGCGTCTGAGAATGTGTTTGAGGGTCCTCTGTCCGTGGCTGGAGAGCTGCCGTTCGTGAGTGCTGTGGCTCTGGAGGGCGCGCTGCCCAGTGCTGGTGCTGGCGCCGTCAGCTACAGCTGCGGTAACGGTGTCACTGCTATCGAGAGCATCGCTCCTTCTGTTGCTGCTGCTATTGCTCCTGCGGTAGCAGCAGCGGCTCCTGCTGCTGCTTATGGCGCTGCAGCACGTTACGGTCTCACTGGTTATGGACTGGGTGCTGCTGGCATCTCTCCTGCCGCTCTCGGACTCGGCTGGAATGGATGCGGCTGTGGGATGTGGTAGAAAAGTAAAAAAATATTGTTCTTTTTGTCTAATACTTACTCAAACAAATAAAATTAACTTTGCATATGATTAATTGTTTTAAACTAAACATTCACCTGTGATTGTCTCGGTCCGTATAAGATGTGATATTTTGCTGCATCATGACAATAAAAGGATGACACAACACATTTACGACATTGAACTTGACCTTTTTTTTTTGTTGACGTGGGGAACCTTCAAAAGCCGCCTAGCTTTTTTGGGGAAAAAAAGACTAGGGAGTTTGGGATTTTTGCCTCACTATAACCTCCCCGGTGGCCATCATCCGCACTTGAAGGAGCCACCGGTTCCTCTCAGTAGACCAACCCCGGAGCCCCCACGGTGCAACGCCTGATACGGCACCTCCCTATGGAGACCTATGTGTCTACCTAGAGCCTCTCTGTGCAGTGCACGGCGTCACGTGACCACTGTGCCGCATTGAACTTGACCTAGTACAGTTGCTGCAGAACTCTGATTACTTAGCGCTTAGATAAGCAAGTTGTACATGAATCGTGATCGCAGTCACTGTAAGCACGTGTTACTACATTATTAGTTAACATTGACCGACTGTCTCGTTGGCCGAGTGGTCGCAAGTGCGACTGGCCGGGCCAGGGGTCTCGGGTTCGATTCCCGGGTCGGGCAAAGTATTACTGGGTTTAATAACAAAATCTCAGTAGTATCACGGATACTGGAGTAGTGTCCGGTATATTGCGATAGGCTCACATGGGATTCATAACATAAATAGTGAAAATTGGGTGTTACTTAAATTGTACAGTGGCAGTAAGTGCCATTATCTGCACCTCTGCCTACACCTTTGGGGGATAAAAGGCATGATGCTAATATTAAAGTTTTTTACACCTTATAGGTACTTAAGTTTTATTTAGAGCATAGATTTCCAACGTTTTGTTAAGAATAACAAAAGGATTGATTCAAGAAAAGCATGGAAAGGTTTTCTTCTAGTTTCGAAATATTTGTTTGTCTTCTATTTTACGAAACTTAATTCATTTAACCGCTTGAATGTCGATAGTTATAATGAGATACAATAGCAGTGTGTCACTAACTTCTGCCCGCGACTTCGTACGTGCAATCCCATTTTTTCCATTTCGTGATTTTCGGTAAAAGTGAAAAAAGTCTTGGATGAAAAGTATTCTGTGTCCATCTCCTGGTTCTAATTATCATTTTAAAACTGTGTGTGACCCACAACGTGCGAGGCGTGCGGTGACAAGTGCTGCATCATTTAGTCGCTTATCAATGCTATGTAATGTGATGTATGTTTATGTATTCATTTTTATAACCGAAGGAGTAGACAGAGGTGCGCATTACGGCACTTAGTGCTATTGTACAATGTAGCACCCACTTTTCACTTTTTATGTTATGAGTCTAATGTAATAGGGGTAAGCCTATTGCCTTTTTAATATAAACAGCTAAATGATAATAAATAAAAAGAGAAACATTCGATGTTACTAATTATAACACAAGATATCTTGTTTGTATCATCATTTTTATTCTTAGTTAACGGAAAGCAAGAACAGCACTGTATTAAGGTTTTAGTAGCAAGCGACAGGTTCACAACCACATGAGCACTTTCCGGAGATAGACACGGCTCCAGCAGCCGGCACGGCGCCGCCGAAGCTCACAGCGCCCATGATGGGGACCTGACCAGCGAGAGCAGTAGTACCGGAGACTGGCAGCTCACCGAGGACCGCCACGTTGCCTTCACCGGCACCGCCGTAAGCAACACCAGGAGCAATAGCACCTCCGTATGCAGCAGCAGGACTAAGCGCGCCACCATAAGCAGATCCGATGGCACCAAGACCGAGGGCACCACCACATGGAGCAGCAGGAGTGAGCAGAGCAGGAGCAGGAGCTAAAGCTGGGGCTCCACACCCGCAGCCAACACCGCCGAGGTACTGACCGAACACTACCTGGACCAAGCAAGCTTGGATGCAGACCAACAGAACAGCGAACCTAGACATGTTTGATGTTCGTTTGTGTTCAACGAGGAGCTGAAGACTGAATGATGTTCCTACTTGTAGACCACGTTTATATAGTGCTCGAGTGTGTTATCAGAACGACGCGAGTTATTGTCTATGTTCTACTGAAACAAAGCCCTCCATAGCAAATATTTCAAGGTCACGTCACTTACACAACGCACACTCGCATTTCTCCATTTCCTCACATTACTCGCACAACTACTGATAAACGTTTGCAAAGTTCATTTCAAAATTCACTAAAACTAGATAAGGAACACGTTTCACTATAAATACTCGATCGGTTCTTGGAATAATCATTGTCAAGTTTGCTTCAACACAAAGTACAATGGCCGCCAAGCTGATCCTCGTCCTCTGCGCTCAGGCGCTCTTCGTCCAGGTGGCATTCAGTCAGTGCCTTGGTCGTGCTGCTATCCCTGCCCCTGCCTTACCCTGCCCTGCTGTTGTTACACCGAGCTGTGCTGGTAACGGTGTGATTGCTAATGGATGGCTCGGTAACGGCCTGATTGGTTCAGAATGGATCGGTAACGGTCTGGTTGGTAATGGATTGGAAATCGTCCCCACAAGTGGTGGTGGACTGGCTGTGAGCAGTACCTCTAGCATCGCTCCCAGCGGGCTCTCGCTAGCGTCTGAGAATGTGTTTGAGGGTGCTCTGTCCGTGGCTGGTGAGCTACCGTTCGTGAGTGCTGTGGCTCTGGAGGGCGCGCTGCCCAGTGCTGGTGCTGGCGCCGTCAGCTACAGCTGCGGTAACGGTGTCACTGTTATCGAGAGCATCGCTCCTTCTGCTGCTGCTGCTATTGCTCCTGCTGCAGCAGCTGCGGCTCCTGCTGCTGCTTATGGCGCTGCAGCACGCTATGGTCTCGCTGGCTATGGACTGGGCGCTGCTGGCGTCTCTCCTGCCGCTTTCGGACTCGGCTATGCAGGCCGTGGATGTGGTTGTGTTGTGTAAATAAATTAATGAACGATTTCCTATTTTAGTTGTGCATCAATAAAATACTTTGCAGTTTATATCGTTGTATATATTTTTTAAATCTTTCTTTTACGTGTTACTTAGAGTAAAGTCGTCTAATGTTAAGACCGGGCCGAGTGATCGCAAGTGCGATTCCCGGGCAAGGGGTCTCGGGTTCGAATTCTGGGTCGGAAAAAGTTTCATTGGGTTTTTAAAAATAATCTCAGTAGAAGTACCTAGCCTGGAATTGGCCCAGTATATGACAAAAGGCTCACCTTCTGTTACATGGGAATCATAACATAAATAGTGAAGAGTGGGTGTTACATTGTACAGTGGCAATAGGTGCCGTAATGTACACCTCTGCCTATCTCTTCGGGGATCAAAATGCGTGATTTTGTCATGTCGTCCAACATAAACTTGTCAGAACATTAATAACGTACCTATGAAATTGACGTATTGTATGAACAATTTAAACGAATTATTTTCATGTTATGTGCTATTCGTATTTATCAAAGTAACCACGCATGCAATCAATGCATCTTTGCCAATGTAGTGGCAGTTTATTGACGCAATTCATAAAGAAATCACTTAGACGGGAGGCAACAAATTCTTCAAAGGCATTTTGTACTGCCTCTCGAGTACTGAATTATTTCTCGCCCATAAGTTATCCAAATTCTAGAAAAAGTATTAGTCCATAGGCGATAGGTGTGATGAATAGGGCGGATGACGAAGACCTTCCAACCCCAGTGCTTGCAACTCGAAGACCGTCTGCCATGCAGTACGAGGTCGCGCGTTGTCGTGCAGGAACAGCGGAGACGAGTGATTGACCAGTACTGGTTGGAGATGTGACACCTTCTCCATCATTGTGTTCAGTTATTGACAGTATTTGGTAAGAAGCTGTGATGAATCACACCGGTGCTAGACCACCAAACAGTGACCATCACTTTTCAAGGTATCGTTATCGTTTAGGGCATTGTTTAGGTGCTGAATCAGGATCCAACCACCTAGTTGAGTGTTTGCGGTTATCAAAAAGAATCCATTGTATATCGCAAGTACGAAGTCGGTTCAAAATTCCTTCATTAATGTATCTGTTGAGCAGTGCAAGACACGTCTCGACGCGTACTTCGCGCTGCCGATAATTTAGTTCGTGGGGCACCTATTTGTCAAGCTTTTTACCTTGCCAAATTAATACAAATGGACCAATATTGTTTTGATACCTACTAGCGTTCAAAGCTGCTGTTTATTCAGCCGTAGATTGTGTATCATTAGTTTCCACGATCGCTTTTAATTCGTTATTGTCGACCAAAGTCTTTAAACAACCGCGAAGTTCATTTTTAAGGTCGAAATTTCCAGAACGGAAGCGAGCAAACCAATAATAGATCGTGCGTTGGTTTGTAGTGTCAGCTCCATAACCGTCGTTGATGTTGCGTACCGCTTGTGGCGCGTTGCTGCCACGATGGTACCTATATTCCATAACTACCTACTCGAATTTTTAACGTATCCATGATGGCGTAAAGTATTGAAATGTAATGAAAATGTTACACTAATCAATAAACAAATCAAGGATTATTTTTAAATAATATTAATTGGAGACTAGAATTCTTAGCCAAACAATAATATTTTGGCTTGCAGTGGCCAATACTGCAGATATTTTTGTAATTATAACACAAAATGTATTGTTTATACCATCATTTATTTGTAGTTCATAAAGCACGAACAACGCTGCATTTTGGTTTTAGTAACAAATGACAGGTTCACAACCACATGAGCACTTTCCGGAGATAGACACGGCTCCACAAGCCGGCACAGCGCCTCCGAAGCTCACAGCGCCCATGATGGGGACCTGACCAGCGAGAGCAGTAGTACCGGAGACTGGCAGCTCACCGAGGACGGCCACGTTGCCTTCACCGGCGCCGCCGTAAGCAGCACCAGGAGCGATAGCACCTCCGTATGCAGCAGCAGGAGCAAATGCACCACCATAGGCAGATCCGATGGCACCAAGACCAAGAGCACCAAGACCGAGGGCACCACCACATGGAGCAGCAGGAGCGAGTAGAGCAGGAGCAGGAGCTAAAGCTGGGGCTCCACACCCGCAGCCAACACCGCCGAGGTACTGACCGAACACTACCTGGACCAAGCAAGCTTGGATACACACCAACAGAACAGTGAACTTAGACATGTTTGATGTTCGTTTGTGTTCAACGAGGAGCTGAAGACTGAATGATGTTCCTACTTGTAGACCACGTTTATATAGTGCTCGAGTGTGTTATCAGAACGACGCGAGTTATTGTCTATGTTCTGCTGAAACAAAGCCCTTCATAGCAAATATTTCAAGGTCACGTCACTTACACAACGCACACTCGCATTTCTCCATTTCCTCACATTACTCGCACAACTACTGATAAACGTTTGCAAAGTTCATTTCAAAATTAACTAAAACTACATAAAGAACACGTTTCACTATAAATACTCGATCGGTTCTAGGGACAATCATTGTCAAGTTTGCTTCAATACAAAGTAGAATGGCCGCCAAGCTGATCCTCGTCCTTTGCGCTCAGGCGCTCTTCGTTCAGGTGGCATTCAGTCAGTGCCTTGGTCGCGCTGCTATCGCTGCCCCTGCCTTACCCTGTCCTGCTGTTGTTGCACCGAGCTGTGCTGGTAACGGTGTGATTGCTAATGGATGGCTCGGAAACGGCCTGATTGGTACCGAATGGATCAGTAACGGTCTGGTTGGTAATGGATTAGAAATCGTCCCCACCAGTGGTGGTGGATTGGCTGTGAGCAGTACCTCTAGCATCGCTCCCAGCGGGCTCTCGCTAGCGTCTGAGAATGTGTTTGAGGGTCCTCTGTCCGTGGCTGGTGAGCTGCCGTTCGTGAGTGCTGTGGCTCTGGAGGGCGCGTTGCCCAGTGCTGGTGCTGGCGCCGTTAGCTACAGCTGCGGTAACGGTGTCACTGCTATCGAGAGCATCGCTCCTTCTGCTGCTGCTGCTATTGCTCCTGCGGTAACAGCTGCAGCTCCTGCTGCTGCTTATGCCGCTGCAGCACGTTACGGTCTCGCTGGCTATGGACCGGGCGCTACTACACCTGCAGCCCTCGGACTCGGCTGGAATGGATGCGGCTGTGAATTGTGGTAGAAAAGTACAAAATTATTGTTTTTTTATGTCAAATATATTTTGAAGTAAATAAAACAGAATTTTGCAAATGATTTATTGTTTTCCCCTCAGATTATCTCCCTTCTGTTAAAGACGTGATGTTTTGCTGCATTATATTAATTAAAAGATGACACAACACTTTTACAGCATTAAACTTGACCTAGTACACTTGTTGTACAATTCTGATTACTCAGCGCTTAGATAAGCAAGTTGTACATACATAGTGAAATGTGATCGCAGTTCTTCGTACGCACGTGTTACTAATTCATAATTAATTTTGTAATGCTAAATTGTAACTATGTGTTTGTCTTTCTTTTACGTTGTGTAGGGATGTGGTATAACTAGCTTCTTCACTAGCAGCTTTGCTTGCATTCCTGTGGTATAAAAAGTAGCCTCCGTGTTATTTCAAACATTATCTTCCCTTGTTCCAATTTCATCTCGATCCCTTCAGCCGTTTTAACGTGAAGGAGTACCAAACAAACATAAAAACTTTGCTATTATTTAGTTGGATTAAGTGTGGGAAACTCATGCTTCAACACGAATGGGTCGGCTCGATCTGAATGATACCATCGACTCACTGGAAACCGGCGTAAAACAACGCTTGTTTGTGTTTCGTTCGCCGCATGAGTTAGGTTATCGGATGCCTAATATCTCCCCTACCCGTTCCCGTCTCGCCAATACCTTTAACTGCCGACAAAAAACTGTTAAAGGCTAATCAACCGCTAGCGACGGTTATCATTGGCCGACACAGCATCAAATGTTAACCTCCAAAAGGCCAGCAACGCACTTCTTAGTCTTCTGGTGTTGTGGGTGTTCATTGGCGAAGCTGAATGCTGACTATCTGTAAGTGATCCGTCTGCTCCTTCGCCGGCCTGTACCATAAAAAATTGCTGTGTCTTGAAGATCGAGATAGTTAGAATAGATTTAAGTAGACTGCTTAAATTATATAACCATTCATCATACCTTGTAATTCCCGAAGGGATAAGCACTTAAGGAATTAACACTTCACAAGTTTTGCTCTGAGCCGTATTTGAGTGGAAGTAACAGAAGGCGAGTCTATTGGCATACTCACAATTAATTTTTTAATTTCTTTTGCAAACGTTGGACTTACTAGGATTTTTTCCTGTATTGTGGGTGCGTTTACAATCATACAAGTTCACATACACATGACATCCAGACCCGAAACAACAATTTGTGGATCACACAAAGAGGTGCTCTGGCAGGAGGTGCAGCCGGTTGCCCAGTCACCGCACCATCCGTGCAGTCGAAATCGAGAAGTTGCAGTGCTTCGGGGATGTTTTTGACGCCTTTCATGCCACACAGCGTAAAGGGTTAGCCTCCTTTATGTCCAGAGTTGGCATGTGTAAGAATGGTATTGTTAGGAGTTTGGCTGACCGCCTGCATTTGACTGCTACGTACAGACGTTGGTTTGTTATGGTCACCTAATCTTGTTTATTTTTTTTTCAACATATAACATAACATAACATAACATCACGCCTTTTATTCCCGGGTAGGCGGCAGAGGTGTACATTAGTCATTATGGCACTTATTGCCACTGTACAATGTAACACCCACTTTTCACTATTTATGTCATGAATTGCATGTAATAGGGGGTGAGCCTATTGCCATATACCGGGCACAATTCCAAACTCCGTGCTACTATTGATTTTTTTTAAAACCCAGTAATAATTTGGCCGACCCGGGAACCAAACCCGAGACCCCTTGCCCGGCAGTTGCACTTGCGACCACTCGGCCAACGAGGAAGGCAAAATTCTGTTATTATAATTATGCTCATATAGTATCTCTATGCACACACACCATAGATGTGACAGGAACGTATTATACAGCTACAATTTTAGTAATGTAATCCAAAGTATGGTAAGTTTAGTGAAAGCTCCTGGCAAGTAGTAACTAGCAATTATTAGGAGACGACCCGTGGTGGGTGAAACCTGTCGCTAGTGTTGTCTATAAGTATTTTCATCGGTAAAATAAAAACGAGACCTCACCCAGGCGGGAGAAGTAATTCGATGATCCCCCCCCCCCCGCTAAAAAGTGCCTATCCGAGTGTTGTGTTAATTAGAACAGTAAGGTAGATTAGAATGAAATTATATTTGTCTAGATATCTAGTTTGTAATACATTTTTTTCAGTGGAATAACAAATATTTAAAGCCATTATCGTAAACAATAAATCGTACGCAAAATTCTTTTTATTGTGTCACATAATAACAGACCTATCATGATCATAATTCTACCACAGTCCACAGTCGCATCCATTCCAACCGACTCCGAGAGCTGCAGGAGAGATACCAGTAGCGCCCAGTCCATAGCCAGTGAGACCGTAACGTGCTGCAGCGCCATAAGCAGCAGCAGGAGCTGCAGCTGCTACCCCAGGAGCAATAGCAGCAGCAGCAGAAGGAGCGATGCTCTCGATAGCAGTGACACCGTTACCGCAGCTGTAGCTAACGGCGCCAGCACCAGCACTAGGCAGCGCGCCCTCCAGAGCCACAGCACTCACGAACGGCAGCTCACCAGCCAGGGATAGAGCACCCTCAAACACATTTTCAGACGCTAGCGAGAGCCCGCTGGGAGCGATGCTAGAGATACTGCTTACAGCCAGTCCACCGCCACTGGTCGGGACGATTTCTAATCCATTACCAACCAGACCATTACCGATCCATTCGGTACCAATCAGACCGTTACCGAGCCATCCATTAGCAATCACACCGTTACCAGCACAGCTCGGTGCAACAACAGCAGGGCAGGGTAAGGCAGGGGCAGGGATAACACGACCAAGGCACTGACTGAATGCCACCTGGACGAAGAGCGCCTGAGCGCAGAGGACGAGGATCAGCTTGGCGGCCATTGTACTTTGTGTTGAAGCAAACTTGACAATGATTGTCCCTAGAACCGATCGTGTATTTATAGTGAAACGTGTTCTTTATCTAGTTTTAGTTAATTTTGAAATGAACTTTGCAAACGTTTATCAGTAGTTGTGCGAGTAATGTGAGGAAATGGAGAAATGCGAGTGTGCGTTGTGTAAGTGACGTGACCTTGAAATATTTGCTATGGAGGGCTTTGTTTCAGTAGAACATAGACAATAACTCGCGTCGTTCTGATAACACACTCGAGCACTATATAAACGTGGTCTACAAGTAGGAACATCATTCAGTCTTCAGCTCCTCGTTGAACACAAACGAACATCAAACATGTCTAGGTTCGCTGTTCTGTTGGTCTGCATCCAAGCTTGCTTGGTCCAGGTAGTGTTCGGTCAGTACCTCGGCGGTGTTGGCTGCGGGTGTGGAGCCCCAGCTTTAGCTCCTGCTCCTGCTCTGCTCGCTCCTGCTGCTCCATGTGGTGGTGCCCTCGGTCTTGGTGCCATCGGATCTGCTTATGGTGGCGCGCTTAGTCCTGCTGCTGCATACGGAGGTGCTATTGCTCCTGGTGCTGCTTACGGCGGCGCCGGTGAAGGCAACGTGGCGGTCCTTGGTGAGCTGCCAGTCTCCGGTACTACTGCTATCGCTGGTCAGATCCCCATCATGGGCGCTGTGAGCTTCGGCGGCGCTGTGCCGGCTGCTGGAGCCGTGTCTATCTCCGGAAAGTGCTCATGTGGCTGTGAACCTGTCATTTGCTACTAAAACCAAAATGCAGCGTTGTTCGCGCTTTATGAACTACAAATAAATGATGGTATAAACAAGACATTTTGTGGTATAATTACTGAAATATAAAGCTCCTATTCTTATATTATGTCTTTATCTATGAAATTGCCATTCTGCAGTATTGGCCACTGCAAACCAAAATAATCTTGTTTGGCTAAGAATTCTAGTTTCCAATTAATATTATTTAAAAAAAACCTTGATTTGTTTATTGATAAGTGTTACATATTCATTGAATTTCAATCTTTTCGTCATCATGGATACGTTAAAACTTTGAGTAATTGTGGAATATGAGTACCATCATGGCAGCAACGCGGCACAAGCGGCACGCAACATCAACGACGGTTATGGAGCTGACACTACAAACCAACGCACGATCTATTATTGGTTTGCTCGCTTCCGTTCTGGAAATTTTGACCTTAAAAATGAACTTCGCGGTTGTTTAAGACTTTGTTCGATAATAACGAATTAAAAGCAATCGTGGAAACTAATGATACACAATCTACGGCTGAATAAACAGCAGCTTTGAACGTTAATATCAAAACAATATTGGTCCATTTGTATTAATTTGGCAAGGTAAAAAGCTTGACAAATAGGTGCCCCACGAACTAAATTATCGGCAGCGCGAAGTATGCGTCGAGACGTGTCTTGCACTGCTCAACAGATACATTAATGAAGGAATTTTGAACTGACTTCGTACATGCGATATACAATGAATTCTTTTTGATAACCGCAAGCACTCAGCTAGGTGGTAGGATCCTGGTTCAGCATCTAAACAATGCCCTAAACGAAAACTATGCCTTGAAAAGTGATGGTCACAGTTTGTGTGGTCTAGCACCGGTGTGATTCATTACAGCTTCTTACTAAATACTATTACTGCAGATGTATGCCCTGTTAAGAACTGAACACAATGATGGAGAAGCTGATACATCTCCAACCAGTACTGGTCAATCACTCGTCTCCGCTGTACCTGCACGACAACGCGCGACCTCGTCGTGCATGGCAGACGGTCTTCGAGTTGCAAGCACTGGGGTTGGAAGGTCTTCGTCATCCGCCCTATTCATCACACCTATCGCCTATAGACTATTACTTTTTCCAGACTTTGGATAACTTCTTCGCGGAAAATAATTCAGTGCTCGAGAGGCAGTACAAAATGCCTTTGAAGAATTTGTTGCCTCCCGTCTAAGTGATTGCTTTATGAAGAGCGTCAATAAACTGCCACTGCATTGGCAAAGATGCATTGATTGCATGCGTGGTTACTTTGATAAATACGAATAGCACATAACATGAAAATAATTCGTTTAAATTGTTCATACAATACGTCAATTTCATAGGTACGTTATTAATGTTCTGACAAGTTTATGTTGGACGACATGACAAAATCACGCATTTTGATCCCCGAAGAGATAGGCAGAGGTGTACATTACGGCACCTATTGCCACTGAAAATGTAACACCCACTCTTCACTATTTATGTTATGATTCCCATGTAATAGAAGGTGAGCCTATTGTCATATACCGGGCCAATTCCAGGCTAGGTACTTCTACTGAGATTATTTTTAAAAACCCAGTGAAACTTTGTCCGACTCGGAAATCGAAACCGAGACCCCTTGCCCGGCAATCGCACTTGAGATCACTCGGCCAACGAAGCAATCTTAACGTTAGACTGATAACTTTGCTCTAAGTCATACTTAAAAGAAAGGTTTAAAATTATACAACTACATAAACTGTCAAGTATTTTATTGATGCGTAACTAGAATAGGAAATCGTTCATTATTTTAATCACATAACACAACCACATCCACGACCTGCATAGCCGAGTCCGAAAGAGGCAGGAAAGACGCCCGCAGCGCCCAGTCCATAGCCAGTGAGACCATAGCGTGCTGCAGCGCCGTAAGCAGCAGCAGGAGCTCCAGCCGCTACCGCAGGAGCAATAGCAGCAGCAGCAGAAGGAGCGATGCTCTCGATAGCAGTGACACCATTACCGCAGCTGTAGCTGACGGCGCCAGCACCAGCACTGGGCAGCGCGCCCTCCAGAGCCACAGCACTCACGAACGGCAGTTCACCAGCCACGGACAAAGCACCCTCAAACACATTCTCAGATGCTAGGGAGAGCCCGCTAGGGGCGATGCTAGAGGTACTGCTCACTGCCAGTCCACCACCACTGGTAGGGACGATTTCTAATCCATTACTAACCAGACCGTTACCGATCCATTCGGTATCGATCAGACCGTTACCGATCCATCCATTAGCAATCACACCGTTACCAGCACAGCTTGGTGCAACAACAGCAGGGCAGGGTAAGGTAGGAGCAGCGATAGCTGCACGACCAAGGCACTGACTGAATGCCACCTGGACGAAGAGCGCCTGAGCGCAGAGGACGAAGATCAGCTTGGCGGCCATTGTACTTTGTGTTGAAGCAAATTTTACAATGATTGTCCCTAGAACCGATCGAGTATTTATAGTGGAACATGTTTCTTATCTAGTTTTAGTGAATTTTGAAATGAACTTTGCAAACGTTTATCAGTAGTTGTGCGAGTAATGTGAGGAAATGGAGAAATGCGAGTGTACGTTGTGTAAGAGACGTGACCTTGAAATATTTGCTATGGAGGGCTTTGTTTCAGTAGAACATAGACAATAACTCGCGTCGTTCTGATAACACACTCGAGCACTATATAAACGTGGTCTACAAGTAGGAACATCATTCAGTCTTCAGCTCCTCGTTGAACACAAACGAACATCAAACATGTCTAGGTTCGCTGTTCTGTTGGTCTGCATCCAAGCTTGCTTGGTCCAGGTAGTGTTCGGTCAGTACCTCGGCGGTGTTGGCTGCGGGTGTGGAGTCCCAGCTGTAGCTCCTGTACCTGCTCTGATCGCTCCTGCTCCATGTGGTGGTGCCCTCGGTCTTGGTGGTCTCGGTCTTGGTGCCATCGGATCTGCTTATGGTGGTGCACTTGCTCCTGCTGCTGCATACGGAGGTGCTATTGCTCCTGGTTCTGCTTACGGCGGCGCCGGTGAAGGCAACGTGGCGGTCCTTGGTGAGCTGCCAGTCTCCGGTACTACTGCCATCGCTGGTCAGGTCCCCATCATGGGCGCTGTGAGCTTCGGCGGCGCCGTGCCGGCTACTGGAGCCGTGTCTATCTCCGGAAAGTGCTCATGTGGTTGTGAACCTATCATTTGCTACTAAAACCTTAATACAGTGCTGTTCTTGCTTTCCGTTAAATACAAATAAAAATAATGATATAAACAACATATCTTCTTGTGTTATAATTAATAACATCGATTGTTTCTCTTTTCATTTATTAGCATTTAGCTGTTTATATTAAAAATGCATAAGACTATAAGCCCCCTATTACATGAGACTCATAACATAAATAGTGAATAGTGGGTGTTACATTTTACAATAGCACAAATTGCTGTAATGCGCACCTCAATGTTATGTATGTTTATGTATTACATAGCATTGATAAGCGACTAAATTATGCAGCGCTCGGCACTGCACACCTCGCGCGTTGTGGGTCACACACAGTTTTAAAATACCTAACCAAATGTTTTGGGGTCTTCTCAGTTATAGCTCTGTGTTTAATTAAGTATTCTCATATTGACTTTTTATCTTTATAGCAGGTAAATAAAGAACAGTGTTAGTTAAACTATTTATAAATCAAAAACGGCTAAATCTATATGAATTAAAATTTGAGGGGTGGTAGCTTAGAACCAGGAGATGGACATAGAATACTTTTCATCTAAGACTTTTTTCACATTTTACCGAAAATCACGAAATGGAAAAAATGGGATTGCACGTACGAAGTCGCGGGCAGAAGTTAGTTACACACTGCTATTGTATCTCATATACCGACATTTAAGCGATTAAAGGAATTAAGTTTCGAAAATAGAAGACAAACAAATATTTAGAAACTAGAAAACCTTTCAATGCTTTTTTTGGTATTCTGAACAAAACGTTGTAAAGCTATGCTCTAAATAAAACTTAAGTATAAGGTGTAAAATCGGTCGTCGGTCGTGGAGGCCCGGAGGTGAAGACCCCCGCTTCTCATGCATGAGGGTGCGGGTTCAAAGCCACCAACGGCAAGTACCAATGTGACTTTTTCCGAGTTATATGTACTTTCTAAGATTATTTAAACACCACTAACAAACGTTGAAGGAAAACATCGTGAGGAAACCTGGGCTTATAATTTCAAATTATAAGTTTGAAATCGCCAACCCGCAATGAGCAAGCGTGGTGATTAATGCTCAAACCTTCTCCGTGTGAGAAGAAGCTTTGCTCAACGGTGGGCATTTATTGGCTGTTGATGGTGGATACAGTGTAAAAAACTTTAATATCAACATCATGTCTTTCATCCCCCAAAGGTTGTGAGTGAGGTTACCGGAGGCCCAATTACCCTTCCCCAATCTCCCCAATCCGAATACCCAACGATCCTCAAACTCCTAATCCCCAAAAGACCGATAATGCACTTGTAACGCCTCTGGTGTTCCAGATGTACATGGGCGACGCCGATTGCTTACCATCAGGCGATCCGTGTGCTCGTTAACCGGCTTATGCCATAAAAAAAAAGGTGTAGGCAGAGGTGCAGATAATGGCACTTACTGCCACTGTATAATATAAGTAACACCCAATTTTCACTATTTATGTTATGAATCCCATGTGAGCCTATCGCAATATACCGGACACTACTCCAGTATCCGTGATACTACTGAGATTTTGTTATTAAACCCAGTAATACTTTGCCCGACCCGGGAATCGAACCCGAGACCCTTGGCCCGGCAGTCGCACTTGCGACCACTCGGCCAACGAGGCAGTCGGTTATGATATTAACTACATAAAATACATAACAACACGCCTTTTATCCCCGAAAGGGTAGGCAGAGGTGCACATTACGGCACTTAATGCCACTGTAATGTAACACCCACTTTTCACTATTTATGTTATGAGTCCCATGTAATAGGGGGTGAGCCTATTGCCATATACCGGGCACAGTTCCAGACTCCGTGCTACCACTGAGAAAAACCCAGTAATACTTTGCCCGACCCGGGAATCGAACCCGAGAGCCCTTGCCCGG